ATTGAGTACACAGAAGAAGAGACAAAATCATCAACGTCTTCTAACATGGAGTGTGATGTTCCAACTCAAGTACGGTGTACATGTATATTATTAAGCATGGAGTGTATACCCGGGGGATTACAGGATTCCTGCCGGGAATACACTATATGTACATCCAAACTAATTTTGTAGTTTGAGTTACGTGTTCGACATATTATTTTGTCTAACTTTGTATGTATTTTGAGATAACACTGTAGAGATAAAAGTTACAAACGGTTTGGTGCAGTTCAAAAGTATACTACAAGCTAATACGGTAGTTGGGCGTTTTACAAAGTGAAAAATGAACCAAAAAACAATTTATGGAGGTAGATACGCCATTTTAAGAAAAAAGCATAAACGTATATTAGGAACTTAAGCGACCTTTTTTTTTTTTTATTATTATTGTCATTTGACTTTCCGGTGTCGGTTCAGTGCGTGACAACCGCGTCTCGTACATTGTTAGACAGTGTACTATTTATCATATTATTATTACTATAGAAAGCACTTTATGCTTCGCTAATGGACGAACACGGGGAGAACGTTCTTCTGTATAATAGCTTGTACGCTATTTTTTTTTTTTTTACAAACGCCGAAGAAAATAAACGATTTAAAATAATATACAATTATTTCCGTTCGGTTAAGTAAAGCCAACACAAGAATGGCCAACAAAAAACGCTTCCAAGAGTAGGTACTTGTAGATGCTGGGAAAAAAACTTTCAATTCATACACACAGTAAGTATATTTTTGTATACTTAATAATAATACATTTGTATTATTATTGAAAAGTCATTTTCCAATAGTTTAAGCTTATTGTTTTGAACTAAAACGTATAATTCATTTTAGATCATGAAATTCGGTTGGCGTGTTTCATAACATATACAAAAAAAAAACACATGTTTATAAAACAAGACACTGCGAGACGGATCGATGTTCGGTAACCGTTACGAATTAGCATCTATCTTTTCTCTCATCCGGCGACCCAATACGGTCTGCAAGTTAACGCCACATTACACGGTCGACCAGTCTGCAAAGGCTAGCACGGCTATATTGAAACTGACTGAATCGGCAAATTAAAAAGTTTACATCGAACAATGTGTCGGATCTTTTGTACAAGCCGTCCGGACAGACGAGGGTCTGAAGAAAATAACTTTTTATTCTTTCCTCGGCACCGAACGGTTAATTCTTTTTTTTTTCTCCTTTACAGGCTCTGCGCTAGTTTTTCTTTCACCCATTAGAATTGCCATTTTCCAAAGGGCGGACAACGGAGAAACCTAGGACTGTGCACGGTCGCAGTCAGCGATTCCGAATTGATGACAAATGCCCAAGAGACGTCTCCGATATGTCTCCGGTAACAAGGCGGGATTAATTGGGATTAATGAGAGATCACTGCCTCTGTCACTGCTATAGGTCCGAACCCGAAAACAAACGGACTCGACTTCCGTAAGAAGTCTGAGAGGAAATTAAATGCAACTAGAAAAGCATAAACAAAAAAAAATCCAACCAAAATATTTTCTTGCGTTTTAGCGAAAATTAACTGTAAAATTAAAAAAAATGTTGAAGAAAAACATTTCATTTTATTTAAAATACAATTTTGAATGTTAATAAATGTTAGGTTTTATTAAAATTGGAATAATATGCTAAGAAAAAAGTTTTGATTTATATGATTTTACCGTTTTCCGAATAATTTAAATTTCCGACTAGGATAAGAAACTAAGACTAGGAGGGACTAGACTAAGAGTAAGTCCCTTTTAAATCTTATTAATATTTATTTGATAAATTGTTAAGTGCTTGACGTTTATACTTAAGTCAGAAAAATCACAACTCTCTGTTGTGCTTATTATTTATTTATTATATTCAATAACCTTATATTATACAACCATAGTGAGTCTAAATAAAATAAGGGAAAATCTATAGATAATTTATGAGGGTCATAGTCGGCCGATCATTTAGTATTTATGGAAATGTCCTGTTGGAAGTTACTGAGTTCATAGTTGAAAACTTATTTAGTTTCTATGCAGAGCTTGGCCTAATCAATAATGTGTATGTCGACCCACAGTTTTGTGTTTGGTTCATACATTTTTAACCAGACGTCCGATTTCTTGTGTAGCAAGTCTTAAGATCAGAAGTTGTACATCGCACAAACTAAATATGTTAGTAGGAATAAAACTTAAATAAGTACATCTCACCTCAGTCCTCTTAAGAATCGAGAAACACGCTCTAAAAAAAATAATATAATATCAAATAACAGTGGAATTAGTTTCGAATTTGTTTAGGATATTTTTTTTTAGATAAAACTGTATCTATAGTGAAAGCACCCCAAAAGGGTTTGAAACTTTTCTATTATTTTGCTTAGCCAGGGATAGTTTTGAACTTTTTGGACATTTAAATTAAAAATCAATAATTTATTGTTGTCGAGAAAATATTTTCTCAAAATCTATTGACTTGCTTAAAACCCATGTATTGCTCACATTATAGTGCTTAGTATTTTATTGATATTATTAAATCTTTTTCGCAACGAAACGTTTTAGTATTTAATTTCAGTCAAGAGGGAGAGTGCAACAGTTAGTCTGGCATACTATATAATATTTTGATGTGTAACATTATACATTGAACCGCAACCGCGGAAAAACCAAAATCGTGGCTATATTGAAATATATATATATATAAAAATGTGCGTCTGTTTCTGTTAAAATACAACACACTTGGCGATCAGTATCCACACCCTTCAGTGGACAAACAACACATAAATCTGCAACGACCGTCGATATTTCAATTTGTACCCAAACGGAAAACAAACCGTTTCCGGTCTACAATCGATTTGAATATAAATATTACAGGCCACGCCACGCCGCCTGATTGCGCTTCCTAAACTAAACTATAGGGAATAGAAGAAAATATTACTATAGTACATCAAGCACTAAGTGGATCTACCGTACCGGTATTGCTTTTAACAGCTGTTTAATATATTTAACCGTTTACTTATAAGAAATCTACATCAGAAGCGTCGACAAACCGCTTTTGCCTCACCTGGTCAAGATTAACCCTTTCTTTTTTTCTAAAAACCACACCTGTTATTCTGTGTGTTGACAATTCATTTGCATCCGCATGTTGCCGAAATTAAATAATTATACGGAGGAAGTTTAACATTAATGATTATTCATAATAGTGAATTACCATAACGTGTACACTAATACACTACATGCGTGCTACAGAATACCTAGTTGAACGCGGGTGTTATTTATGATACATACAATTTTTATTACTAGTTTATTATGATGTCATATTAAAAGTTGTTCACCGACCAAACAGTTAAACATTTTTTTTTTTTATATATCTACATTAGGACTTTATGATAATCTGTTTTTAAATTTATCGTCTGGTTAACGGTTTCAAGTAGTTGGGCACTAAAAGATAGTTTGATGGAACTTGCCAGTTACCAACGTAAAGGCTTAAAGATTACCCGACTAGTATTTATGTTCTGGTTTTATAGATCATTAGAAAAATAATTTGCTACGATAACAACCTTACAATTTTACACGAATTAGTATAAGTAAGTTTGTGTTATGGCTTGTAGTAATTATTTATATGGTTTTTTTAAGACTTATGTAAATTATACGCTTTAATCGAAAAGGGGAAAAAAGATAAAATCAATTTTACAAGCCCCTCGCCTAACTATATGACCCATTAAAATTACCTAAGGTCACGCTACCGTTTAGCACATAATTACTTTTTTTTTATACTGTAATGTTCTTTAAACAAAATTATAAAATCAATTTCCTTAGACTTCAGCGCTAAATAATATTACTTTAGTAAACATCTTATAAACCTTGGTTTTGGTGAAACACTGGATTCAATCACAGCAAATGCAGTGACAGTGATTTATCAATTAACCACTATTACATTAGTGTATTATGTGCTTCATTGTGTTTTTTGTATACTTGGCATTTATTTTGTTATAGTAATTATTTAATGGTTTGTTAACCATAAGAACTAGTTGACAATTGCATAAGCTATAATATTCAAATAAATAAATAATGTATTAAATCTATCTAGTTAAGAAATATTATACGCTAAAGTGTATTTTATTCTACTTTATTATTTGATTTCTCAACTGTATATTATTATAATAACCACAAGCATTGCTTCGGTTTTTTTTTCTAGATTAAATCTATCCAGTTATCTTTTGACGGTTGCCTCTCTGTTTTGTTTTAAATATACCGTGTAACAATCCCCTAAAAAGCAATGTTTATTTTTACATTATTTATTTCGACCAAATACCAATTCTTTTTGCGAATATTTCTGTTTCGTTATATTTTATTTTGTGTGGTTTTTGTTTTTTTTAACGGACGAACCGATATGCTGAATTTATAATAACACTCTAACTATGTAAAAAATGTATATATTGTTATTTACTCGATTGCCCAGCTTCAGTTTTTTGACGTTTACACAGTATTGTTTGTTTGTATGGCAAAGACAGTTCAACATGAGTTTCTCGAACGTTTAACTTTACTTCCTTTCGCTTTGCATGGCCCTGGACCGATTGCTTGTTTAAAACGTATTGGATATCCATACAGGTCTCGTCCGTGATTGCACAGAGAGCCGGCACTGAGCCAGAAGGAAGAAAGTACATTAGGTATTCATCAAACAAACCGCAATAATGTTAAAAATAAAAATAAGGAGAGAGGAGAATCGATATTTCCCCCCAATGTTGTCGGTTGTTTTCTATATTTTTATTGTTATTTTCCATATTATACACAAATACATTTATTAATGTATTATTATTATTATTGCGATTTGTATAAGATTGACCGCATAAATTAAACGAAACGATTGAATAAACAGTTATTTTATATTGTACGATAAAATATTATATAACGACAAAATATACAAAGTAATAAATAAATAAAATTTCAAAAAAAAAAAATCTATACAAAAATTTGACAAGTCCACTAGACGCAGTGCTTATAATATTATATAAATGTAATTATTGGTTACGATAACGTTAAAAAGTTTTAAGTTACAATATTATTATTATGATTTCCCGAGGATCACAAAATAAATATGTATATACACAAAAATCGATCAGTTAAAAAAAAATAATAATAATAATAATTATAATATTATTAAACGTATTATCACAGTTGAGAACATATAATATAATAATATATAATCAGTATTATGATGTTTATATTATATAAAATAAATTATATTAAACATGACTAGATCGCCTGGTTTATAAAAGTAAACAATCAAATATTACCGGAAAGTACACAAAGCTAAAATGGTATATCTATAAGTGTAAAAAGTTAAATTTTAAAATAAAATATACCTTCTTAGCTCCATTAAGAAGCTAAAAAAAAAACTTATAATTATACGTGTGTCCGAAACAGAGTGATAACGTTATGGCACCGGCGCGCATGAGGAGGGGGTCAAGAGGTCAAAGGTAAACTTAGATCATCAAGCAATGATTTATTAACAAGCAGTTGACCGGTGCCCCTCGAGTCCGTTTATCGAATTATCAATATTATATAATGGGTATATTCTAAGTAAGTAATTAAGTGTAATCATTTGGAATAACAGGTATTACCGTAAGTAGTGTTTTGGTCTGCAGCTGTCTGGGCGAGGGAGCGGTCTCCCCCGGAGGATAATATCACATATTCATAAAAAATACAATTATTATCGGTACACTAAATTAACGATAAATATACAAACATAGCGTGTGTGCGACTACGGAGTTGCTCGCGGTTGTCGATTGATCGTTTAAAACCGTCGAAATGACTTCAAAATCGTGCAAAACAAAAGCACTCGGTTAGGTCTTTGTCTGGTTCGCGTGTCGTTTAAACACCGTACCTATAATATAGTCTTTGGAAAGTGTCCTCCACACACACGGACCCGGTCATTATTGTCCCTTCAAAGCCCTTTGAACCACAATAATTATAATTGTCGGGTAATTGCGGATGGGACGATGCTAGGCCGTCGTTAAATTTGACCGGACGACCTTATTTTCACCTGACAAAACCTCGAGGACAGTACATTTAGCCACCGACTACTGTGAACGGGCTAAGGTGGCGGAAATTAGTCGCCGGACTTTTGACTAGATTCGGTATTGTTGTTTGTACCTGTCAGAAGAGAAACTTAAAAACATAACCGCGAACGGTTTTAGTTGTCCGCGTAAAGATTCTCATATAGCTATACAAAGTAAATGACTTAAAAAGTATACGAATCAATTTCGAAACAATAGTATCGGTCAAAGTACAAAGGTGTAGGTAGCGATTGAAAAGAAAGCGTATTATAGAATGAAAAAAAAAAGAGACACAATTTAAAAAGACTTCGTCGTAGGTTGAATTTTTAGTTTTGAGCCGTGGTCCGCCTGGGTCTTCACAACTCTGAAACACACAAAAACAATTCCAATTAATATTACAGCAATTAATTACATATTAATAAACAGTGTATATTTAAATGTATAATATTTGTCAAGGTGTATTGCGTGTCGTTTTTATTCTTGTTATCGTCTGAATTAAAAACAAAAAATAGAAATTGTGTGAACATTTTTACCAGGAAAAAAACACTCACTACAATAACATATCTTAAACCGTGTAGTAATTTATCTTATTAATTATTTTCGTGAATCCATGTACCTATTGTTAGTATTTTATTTAATAATTTGTCGTTTCCAAGTGTAGCGTTTAAAACTAACAAAGTATATAAATATATTTCATCATTTTTGCTGTATCTAATTAGAATATATCTAATTAAAGTAACTATACCACAAAGCAATTTAAAAATGTTCACATTTTTTAGAGGTTTTTTTTCCCTAGTTTGGTGCAATTTAGAACAATTTTTCGATATCATTATTATTATTTCTTTTTTTTTGAAACAAAAGTTTGTTTCTTTTTCATTATTACGAACAAACGCGTTAAAAAATAAAAGTGCTATCTCTTACGCATCGTTACTCGGGTTAGACAAGGTTAAGAGCTAGTCACGCGTTCTGTGAGCAGTAAAACGGTAGTTGTACATGTATCTAGCCCGCTCCTTTTTAATATTAATCATCATATTAAATATTCTACTATCATAGAGTAGCTGTGTACTCTTTGTTGTACAATAGCTGTTCGCAAAGTGGCAGCCGACTAAAGGCAATGCGTGGCGTCGTTCCATAGAATATAAGTAGCTTGGACTTTGTCATTAACATTGAAGTATGAAATAAAATAATATGTCGTCGTTATACGTTGATGAATCGCTCAGAAGGTACCTATAATAATAATAATAATAATGTTGTTTCCCCAACGAGAATTATATGGATATATTATAATGACGTGTACGTTACGCGGGCGGTTCCATTAGATCAAATCGAATTTATCGCTGTCGTCGTTAGCTGGTAAATTTGTTCGTTCGGGAAACGCGTTGAGAATACATTAATGGCAGTGTACAAATTATGTTACAGCGGAGTGGCGACGGGTGAAAAAAAAAAAATTAAATTACATTAAAGTGTTATGGTAATTTCTGCGCGAAGAACCGAACGCGCCCCCGTGCGTTTTGTATACTTACAAGCCAAGACGGCTGTTCGACCGGCCACTAGGGAATCGGTGCAGATGTCGCGTATGCAAATAGGGTTAACCGTGGTGCCGGCCGTAAGTAAGACTGACGGGATCTGTGTTAATTGTGTGTCGGGATCTCGGTAAAGAAACAGTCGACTTTTGGCAGAGACATAGTGTGCGAGAAGACGTTCGTAGAAACGTCCCGGACCCCAAACAAGGCAAAACACAGGGTCTGGGTATTGGATTATAATATGCGTTTACAGAGAGGGAATAATCGCGATTAGGGTGTGCACGTGGAATTATTTTCGAATAATCACTTTGGAGAGAGAGAAAGAAAAAAAAAGAAAAACCTGTTTGTCCCGAGAGTATTTCATTAAAAACTTAGCCCCGACCGTAATGATTAACTTGGTTCGTCTTTGAACTGTCAGCGCTCTGTCAGTTGGTGAAACGATGAGACACGTCCCGTTTAAGGATGGGCGGCTCTGTATTTGCAAGTATTTAATGGGCCACCGCACTAAGTATAGAGGTAGAGTCGTTTTGTAAGTAGCTAGTCCGGAGAAGAATGTTAAAGGGCGACATCGGCGTGTAGCTGTGTGTACGGGTCGTGCCGCCAATTATTTGCACGGGGTCGCCACCTGCTATTTCTCTTTTGTCTTGTCCGGTGAAATATTACTATGGCTTTTCCGGTTGGCCGAACGACGGGGAATTAACGGGGGCCGCGGTGAGAGCAACTTCGGTGTATAAACGGTCAAAAGTCAAACAGACTTACGATAAGGTATGGGAAAATTAATGTATTTCTCGGGGCCGTAATAAGCTTTACGACACGGACCAGTAACCGGGCTTTAAACTCGACTTGGACAACATTTGGGTGAGCTACTTTATTAAATATTAATAATATATTATAACCACAAAAAAATTAATTAAGAAAATCAAATAATAGTTTTAAAACGAACACTAATCGCAGCATACCGAAGACCCAGGCACGATAAGGTCCGGAGCAGTTCAAGAACTATTATGACTATGACCGGCAGTGATAAAAATCTCTTCAATACAAAACTATAGACGGTAAAAATATTTTTAAAAAACCATAACAGTGACATTTTTTGTACACGCTGGTTACACCACTGTCCACTGTTCACTAACTATTTTTTTAAAACAGCCCTTCCTATCGCTCAGGAAGGTTACAATGTCATATTATTATTATGTTGTAAAATTACTCAAACAGAACTTTGAAATTAACTATTTGGAAAAAGTTTTGACTGTTCTAATTTAAAAGTTGAAAACCACGTCAATTATTAGGGCGTTTGTTGGATTTTAGAGAAAGTATTTCTAGTCGTATAGTTTGTAAAAGTACTTTCGTTTGAACGATTTCTAATTATAGATAATATAACCACAGAGCAAAAAATATATCTTAAAACTATAACAATCGTTACATTTATTTTTATTTAAAATACTTCCTTACCAATGTAAATCAAATAAAATGTGTTTACAACATTAAATAGAAGTAACAATTATTATCAAATATAATAAATCGAATATAATATATATTTTATAAATATACATTTTTGTGGCGTGGGATATTATTTGAAAAATTCGGAAAAACAAAAGAAATTTTCAGTAAGAAAAATAATACTTGATATTATTGTAAAACCAATACTTATTCAGTTGCTTATTATTATTATTTTTTTTTTGTATGTTATAATATTGAATTCGGTGTACTTAAATTAAAGTTTACTCAGCAATCAGCGACCGCGCTAACCCCAATATTGGTTCGACTACTTATTACACGTTTATGAGCTCCAAAGCATGTACAGTATACAATCTTATGAGTTATGAGGTTGCTTAGACACCCGAACATTTGCAGAAACACCCGTTTGATAGCAATCAACCGCACGCATTGTACTACCGAGCCGTGGCCTTTGTAATTTCTACTGAAAATACCGTTTCAGACCCCCGTGGGGTCGACAACGGAGTCGAGAAGTTTTTCTGCTATTGCTTTTTCGGCAAAAACCCCCGCGGGCCGACTCTCGACCAGGTCAGGTCAAGCAAGGGGTTTCGGCGAAACGATAGCAGCCAAAAATAACACTACACAGCCGACAAAACAAAAAAACACAATATCGCTTACCGTGCCGGTGCAATAATATATTATGCAAAACGACACACAAACGACTTGTGCCGGCATCTTGTGTCCCGACAGCAATATAATAATAAGACAACACCATTTGGTCCGGGCAAACATTTGATCCCGTTGCCCGTAGGATTAGCAAGACATATTGTATGTTATTTTTTTTTTTTAAATAATTATTCATTTCACATGTACCGGAGTTGGGAGGATATGGATCGTCCGACGACCCTGTACACGAGTGCAGTGTGTGTGTGTGCTCCTATCGGACACGTGTTATCTACAAGTGTCGCGGGCAAAAAAAAGGGGCGCGGCTCGGAGGCAACAAAACAGTAAAAATGTGATAATTAAAGTAAAAATAATAGTATATAATATTTTTCGTTTAAATCGGCAAACCGTGGTGTTTTTCGCCAAAAGATCAAAGCGGATCCTTAGGGGAAAACGATGGTAATCGCCGAGCGTCGGATCATTATCAACAATAGCCGCACTCTGACTAACAACAACAGCTATGATGACGACGACGATAATTATTGTTAATAATATTTTCGATTACACCATATTATTATTATTACTATGGTTGTTTCCAGTAGATTTAATGTGCCGTAAGTATATAGGACGGCAGCGAAAACCCGAAAAGGCATCGTCCGCGTACACCTTGGCTAGGTGTAAGCCTATTATATTGTATATTATTATTATATGTATACGTCCAAACAATATTGGTTTCTTTTCCTTGCAAACCGTGTAACGCAGCCCTCGTTTTTTCGATAACGGTTTTTTCAATAACGACCTACCAAACGAATCGTCGTGTTGTGTTATTATTGGAACATATTATTGCAGTCGTTTGCATTGTTATCCGCGGCCCACCGGATCCGGTAGTGAGAGTAAAGACTTCTATATACACATTTGATGTACTATAAATAGCAGTCGTTTGTGTTACAGTTAAACCGGTGTTGACATTGTGGTGTGATTATCGTCACGACAATACTGGTTTGTTGAGAGAAACTATAAAGGGGTTGAAAATTATCAACAAATTAATAACAAACATTTTTTTGCCCCACCCCCGTGTAAAGCAATTCTGACGGTGTACATTAATTAACATACCTCGAATCGACCATTTGATCCCGTGATAATGATTTCCGATCAGTTGCCCGTTCCAAAGTACAGACGAGACAAATGCAACGGATAATAAACGGAAATATTAACGTCTTGCCTTGCAACAGTACGTTGTGTGCAATTGCCTCGTCGATCACCGTTGGACTTTGCTACTGAAACGCGGATAAGGTAATTTATATAATATTTACCTTTAAATCTTTCGATAGTGCACAAAACAACAAACGTCTCGTGTCGAGAATGCACAAAATACAACAATAAAAAACTACACTATCAGACGACGACGTATGCTTGGTTGTAGTTGCTTAAAGGAACAATTTAGTCGGTTATACATATACATTATGCGAATCGAATGACCGCAAAGGGGGGGTGGGGGGTTATGTCTTAAGAATAGTTTTTATTTTTTTTTCTAAAAAAACTTTATTATCGAGCCAACTTCTGCGGTCGAACAGACTTTTCCAAAACTATTTATTACCAGTGTAATATGGTATATTGTTTTCCGGTTCGTTAAACGAGAAATTTTTTAGTTTTTTTTTAGTTTTTTACCCGCCGTCAACACACGCAGAACACGAGGAAGTTATTTCCTAAAAAAAAATAACGTCAAACTTTGCGGCGTTTA